ATATATTTTATCTTCACGATTACATTGTAGTCTCTTATAATCAAAGAAATGTTTATGGAACTTCTAATTTGTAATTACTGATTTGATTCGTGGGATCTTGCCAATTGAATGTACATTTTCCTAGAAGCATAATTCCATTTTTTTACAGCAGACATTTTGTTGGTATATCAAGGTTGACTTTTTAGCAAAACGTTATGGGAATTGGGTTAAATACACTTTTTGCCTCTATATTCTTCAATAATATTCATGGTAGCCTCTCTGCGTAGGTATAGTGCATAACGAATCTTTTAATAGGAAACGTGGAAACAAATCAATTTTTTCATTAACTTTTTACATTAGATAGATCAGATTTTATTGGTTAATTAACGTCTCATTAATCATACGATGATATGTACTAAATCCATTTTGTTATTTTTATTTTTTAGTTGACAATTGTTATTATATAACTACTAGTATAAGATTTGTTATGCATGGTATCCAAATAAAAAGGTTAATATTAATATTATTAGATAGCATAAGAGCACGACGTGTATTTAACCCAAATTTCTTTTAATTCCACGAAGTAAAACCAGACCAAGGCCGACTACTTTGTGTTCCAACTGCCTTGCGTAATGGTGAAGTAACCAAAGAAGCTGAAGACAGGATTTGAATATGTTTTAGTTTGCATAGAAAAAATGGGGTGGCGATTATCACAATCAAGGACATGGTTGTGGTTATTAGCTCCAACAATCTGTATATAAAGACATGCCAATCACATGGTTTCGCATTGCAGCATACAGTTCTGAAACTTAGCTCCATGGCCAAGCTGTTGCAACTCTCTCTTCTCTTTTTCTCCGCATTGGTGCTGCAATGCCATTGCGCTGAAGATGACAGGAAGGTGACAGAACAATCTGTCTTATTGCAATTCAACATGAATCATGCTTTGATTTACAGGGTTACATTTTTTATGGAAATTCTGATGCATTATGATTTCTGTCCGTAGGTTCATGTTGTGTACATGGGAGATCGTCCGAAGGATACTGCATCGGTCGCATCGACGCACCACAATATGTTAGCAGATGTACTTGGCAGGTCTGGTATCATCATAGTGGGCTAAGTTCTATAAAATTTCTGACAATATTGTTATTGGAACAAACGTTAAAGTATTGATCGACCGAGTAATGTGATTAAACTTTATTACTTGCAGTTCTTCGAAGGCGAGAGAATCGTTAATTTATAGTTACGGGAAGAGTTTCAATGGATTTGTGGCCAAGCTATCAGATAAAGAAGTGGCCAGGCTCAAAGGTTGGCAACGTAATTCCTGTCTTGATCTTACAGGTCATGTCTGCATTTCTTACTCATGTTTCTGAATTTCTGTCGCAGAAATGGAGGGAGTGGTTTCAGTGTTCCCCAATGCCAAGCTGCAAATGCACACTACAAGATCATGGGATTTCATGGGTTTCCCTGAATCCCATCCTAGGTTGCCTACTGAAGGAGAAATTATTGTCGGGTTGCTAGATACAGGTGACTTGTCAGATTCAGAATGAAAAGTAAATGTTGCCATTAACAATCCTAAAATTCAGCTTTAGGGAAAGACACTGTGTTTCTTCGATTTTTGCAGGAGTATGGCCTGAAAACCCGAGTTTCAGTGATGAAGGATTTGATCCACCACCAGCAAAATGGAAGGGTATCTGCCAGGGTGCAAACAACTTCACCTGCAACAAGTATAATCTCTGTTTCCATTTTCGTTCTGTACGAATATTTAATAGGTCCGATACTGAAAAAAGGTTTCTTGAATTCACAGGAAGGTCATTGGAGCCCGTTTCTACGATCTTGAGAATATCACTGATCCTAGGTATGATATCAAGTCTCCAAGGGACTCATTCGGACATGGAAGCCATACTGCTTCAACTGCAGCAGGGATAACTACAAACGCAAGCTACTTCGGATTAGCTGGAGGGGTGGCTAGAGGAGGAGTTCCGAGTGCAAGAATTGCTGTGTACAAAGTATGCTGGGCAAATGGCTGTACCTCTGCAGATATCTTAGCAGCTTTTGAAGATGCAATAGCAGATGGAGTGGATCTTCTATCAGTTTCACTAGGGAATGATTTTCCAACTCCGTATCACGAAGATGCAATCGCCATCGGCACTTTCCATGCCATGAAAAACGGAATTTTAACTTCCTGTTCTGCAGGAAACAATGGACCATTCAGGAGAGAAATCTCAAACTACGCACCTTGGGCACTAACAGTGGCTGCAAGCACCATTGACAGGAGTTTTGCCACTAAAGTCGTGCTTGGAAATGGACAGATCTTCCTCGTAAGCGTTGCTCGATCCCATCTCTGATCCATTATATTCAACCTTCGTTGCCATTTCAGTTTTTTTATTCATTCAAGCAGAAGCTTCTTTAACATAATCAACTCTTTTCTTCACCTCGTATTTGAAAAATTCAAGGGAAATTCGCTCAACATTTTCGACCTCAACGAAACAACGTTCAAATTGATCAATGCTGAAGATGCCGCAAACTATACTTTTGGGGTTGGTCCTGAATTGGCAGGATTTTGCTTTCCTGGAACTCTAGTCCCTCTCCTAACTAATGGAGGAATTGTCATGTGCGATGTTCCTAACACAATGGCCTTAGTGAAAGGGTCAGTGGGTGTTATAATGCCCGCCTCCATTGACGTATCTATACCTTTTCCCTTCCCTCTTTCTCTGATCAGTCCTGAGGACTACTCTCAGCTACTGGACTACGTGAGATCCACACGGTGAGTCACTACAAATCTACAGTACCTTGAAATGTAAAAGTATTGAACTGGTTTACGTCAGGACATGTACAGATCCTTACTGAGATTTTATTCCCTTTCCTAGGACTCCTACTGCAACAATTTTGATCACTGAGCCAGTGAAGGATGTCATGGCTCCCACAGTAACCGATTTCTCATCAAGAGGTCCAAGCCCTATTTCTCCTGATGTTCTCAAGGTATCAATCGTTTCTTTAGTCTCAAGAAGGCAACTTTTCTACTGAAAATTAAATACCGAGATTTTTACCTCTGCTTTCCATCGACACCGATCAAGTAGCTTTTCGACACAATTATGGTCAATTAATTCTCATTATTTTGCAATGGTGCTCCTTGAGAAGTTCTCTCACCTAGACATCTTGATTCCTGAACGTAAAAACAGCCTGACATCACAGCCCCTGGGTTAAACATCCTTGCTGCCTGGTCTCCCCTAGGAGGTGCTTCAGTATCCTTATGGGACAATAGGATCGTAGACTACTATGTGCTCTCTGGTACATCCATGTCCTGCCCACATGCTACTGGTACTGCAGCATTTGTTAAATCAGCTCACCCATCATGGTCTCCCGCTGCTATCAAGTCTGCCCTCATGACTACAGGTAAGTAAAAAAAGAATAAAGATTAGCATATCGTAAGTGACCAGCGTCTTCGACAGTTGGAAATTCTCATCTAACTTCTTTTTTATAGCTTCAACTATGGATTCAAGGAAGAACGACGATGCAGAATTTGCTTATGGATCTGGACAGATCAATCCATTGAAGGCAGTAAACCCAGGGCTAATCTACAATGCAAGCGAAGCAGATTATGTCGATTTCCTATGCAAGGAGGGTTACAACACTACTCTTGTTAGAATTATCAGTGGAGACAACAGCACTTGTCCAAGCGACAAACTAGGCAAAGCATGGGACCTTAACTACCCAACATTTGCTCTCTCATTGTTAGACGGAGAGACTGTCATGGCCACATACCCAAGAACTGTCACCAACGTTGGGCCTCCGAACAGCACTTACTATGCAAAGGTTTCAATGCCAGCCCCATTCACTGTTACAGTACAACCATCAGTTCTATCCTTCTCACAGGTTGGAGAGGAGAAATCCTTCACTGTTAAGATTACAGGAGCACCTATAACTAACACACCAATCGTCTCGGGTTCGCTAGAATGGACATATGGGAACTATGTGGTTAGGAGTCCTATTGTAGTTTTCAACAATATGCCTTCAATTTTTGCATCCGTTGATGAACAGCCACAATCAAAACCCAAGTTTAAAGGTCCATGGGAGGGTTCCACTTCCTCCGTCTACCACAAGAACGGCATCTTTAAGAGTATGCAGAGGATCAGGTCGATTCTGATTGTTTTGGTCACTCGGTATAGAACCCAATGACAGCAATAATAACTCCGAAGCGCCTCCTGCTTTACAGCAGTGAATCTGTAGTGATAAAGAGAACTCTATGGCTCTCTCTGAATAAAGCTTCCATCTGTTTGAAAGCAAGTTTCCTATGCTGTGAAATTAGTTGCATGGAGATGATATTATTTCACTCTTTCTTCTTCTTGTTTTACGGAACCAATTCAAAAGTAGTTCTAGCCGTAATGCTCTCCAGTAGAAAAGGAAAACATAAACTTTTAATCAGTCATAATTTTGGAGAAAAGAAAATGCATCCATAATTTTGAGCTCAAAAGAACCTCACTTCCCTGGATTTGGAGAGGAGATCCAGGAAATATTCTGTTAAAGTCTATCATTTTAGATAAGAAAATGCTTCAAATTTCTGGTTTGAAGTTTTAGCTAGGCAACTGTCACTCTTTCCATACATACTAAAGGAGGGATATTTTTCATGCATGGACAAAATATTCAAACCACATTCCAGAAATGGCAAAATGGAAACAGACTAAACTGAATTCTGCAACACCATTATTAAGCAGCAGCATACAGAAAGAACAATGGAATCCAGAAAATTCTCTTAATTAAATGATCTTGGCATTACAAGAGCTAATTTTGCATATTGAGGTGCCTCTACAATACAAAAATGGGGTTTGTCTGAGAAGCATAATAAATTACAACAAGATATGCCAAAATTTGAAATGTCATCCCATGAACCCAAGAATAATCAATAATTACAAAGAGAAGATGGGGTTCTGTTTTAACACACAGGATAACATAAGAAAGTATAACTGGAGGGGCCTAAAGAGAAGCATACAGAGCTTGGTTGATATAAAAATGATTGTAGAGCTTCAAGCAAAACATACATCTGAACGGAAAACGTATTTCACACCCTTAGTAACATTCCGAGCTTCATGCAACATACACTTGTCCCCATGAATATGTAGGAGAGCCATCCCTTCAGCAGGAGCCACCTACAGAGGTCAGATGGATGCAACAAGAGTCAAGGCAATACACAATTGATTCAATAGAACTCAAACTCATTCAAAAGGGTAAGAAAAATAAAATTGACTGTTGAACAAACACAAATGGAAGGAAGGAAAAGTAAACAGATGTTTAAAGAAAATAAAAGGAAGTTACATCAGCCACCACACTATTCCTTGAGCCATAGAAGACAGTCTCTCCTCCAACTAGAGGCTCTGAGGAAGAATCCTTCTGGCTGTTCGAATCAGTTTTGGGTTTGGCTTTAGTTGCACCACTTAAATATATTAAAAGAGTATAATGAGTGCGCTTCCCATCAACCAGATTAACACTTTCATCAATATGTCGTCCAAAGCGCTGACCGACCTTGTACCTAAGATGATAGAAAACCCATTGAATTCCAATTAGCATGAAATCCCAAAGTATACAGGAGGCACAACAGACTTGGTCTTTACTTCTTATAAAGCAATCACAGTACAATAAAAGCATGCAGGTGACACAGACATTTCTATGCATAAAACTCAACTGGACCAACTCAACTAATTTTTAATTCTGAAGTGGCGAGGCTCATAATGTGAATGATACCTAAGACAATTAAGTTTTAACATTTTTATAGATTGCTTGCAACTCATTGATAAGCCTCAAACAAAAATTTCCACGTACAAATTCATAGCTGGTAAAAGTTTTACAAACTAGCAAGCAATGCTGACCAAATATCTATAAGAAATGGTATAAGACTACTATATATCTGTATAGGAATTGAGAACAAGTGTAAGGTAATAAAATTCAACAAACCGGTAGAATCTGATATTTGGATTCAAGCCGACAGCAACCTTCCCCCTAATTTTAATGTCAGAAAACAATTTGCTTAGTCCTGACTCCCATATCATGTTTGCAAGAACAGGATCATTGACAGAAATTCTATCATTATCTCTATATGCTTCACCATGTGTTGGACCAAGACTCCCTTGGTGAACAAAACCAATAGATTCTGCAACTTTAACAAATGCCTTTGATTCAGCAGATGTGAAGAAATCTTGCACCTGAACATATTACACAAATTAAAACTATTTCAATCACAAAGTTGGACAAGAAAAATAGTATAAAAAAAAAAAAAAAAATCCCTTCTACAATGCATATCCAGGACTACCCTTCATGTCTAACTCAAGACGAGGGGAAAAGCAAGTTGAGGTAATACGTCAGCCGCTATCAAACAATTCAAACATTCCTGGCTTCAAACAGCTGAAAAAAGATTTGTTGTTTTTAAAACACACTGCATGTATCCACTCTGGCCATTTGCTTCATCTAGAACTATATTTGCATATGTTTTCACTTTTCTTTTCCGAACATTTCGTGATATAACAATGGCATGACACAAATTTTATTTCATTATCTCAATACGCATCAAACTTGATATTCTAGATACCCAATATCCATTTAACTCTGATTGACCTCTGATTGCATATCACCATGCAACCCAAGGGGCAACCTTCACTAATCCCTCTACAGGAAACTATGGATACCAAAAAACATTCCTTTGAGCTCAGCTTGTCAAACTAACAGCATATCCAAGTTCTAAAACAAGTCCAAACTAAGATTATTAGCCATATAATCGTTCAACAATCTTAAACCCCGCACAACTCATCCCGCAAAATGAAGAAAAGGGCTCTCAGTTGTTAAACCAGATTCCTGTTTAAACCCTTAATACAGCCAAAACTCAAAGATTTAAACTTTAACTAAGCCCCCTCATTCTCTTATCTATTTCATTTTCACCCCTGCATAATCAATTCCCTACTACAACTACAAGAACCCATGTCACAAACAACTCAAAGAACAGAAATTTAAGCGAGAATTCATTCAAAAACAAAAGTGGACACGATTGCAATTGCTAAATCTTGACCATTGAAAAGAGAAATTTGTCCAAAAGAAAACGAGAAAACTTACAGTAAAGAGATCGGTATCTTTTAGACGAGTAATTCGGAGATTCTTTTTGGGTTTGATGAGAGGCCACTTTTCTGCTTCTTTTCTATCTCCCATTTTTCTCTTCTTCGTAATTCTGCCTGTTTTTTCTGCTTCTGCCATTAACGGACAGCTCCAATTTCTTGTATTATTTTGTTTTGTGTTTCTATTTTGGGCTAAATTTTGATAAAAATGGGCCTCACTTTGAATGTCCAATCACCCAGCCCACAATAATTTTATCTCTTCTCTTTTTATGACAAGCTCAGAATAATTCGATTTCTATTTTGGGCTAATAATATATTTTTCGGGCTAAATTTTGATCCAAATGGGGCCTCAATTTGAATGTACAATCACCCAGCCCACAATAATTTTATCTCTTCTCTTTTATGACTACTCAGAATAATTCAATTTCTATTTGTCCCTAATTTCCGAAAAATCCAAACCTTGGATCTTTTGTAGAACCATTTTTATCACTAATTGACTTGTCAAATATAGATTTAGGATGAAAATTGATTTTTTAGAAATCATAATTTATACCAAAATGATTGACTAAACTCATTATTTGGTATATTTGCTCCTCGTAGTTTCATCAATTTGTCAAAAATATATATTTTATTATCAATTCGATTAATTAAGTACCTATATTTTTTAGTTTAGTTAATTAGCTTAAATTTTTAAAAATTTTAAAAACGAACTGATTAATAAAAATGATAAAATGAATGATGATATCGACACGAACGGAACTAAAATTGATAATAAGGACTTATGTAATAAAAAAAATATTCAATCGATTGAAATATTTGTTTAAAAAAAATCTTTTGTTTAATTGATTAAAATTAAAAACACACATTATTTAATTTATAAAACTAATAAAATAGGATTTTTTATCGAATTATTTAAAACTCACAATAAAATTAGTGTTTACTCATTGCGAAATTTTAAAACTATTTATTTTAAAAACATCATGAGAAAAAAAAAACTAGAGATTTCAAACAATTTTTTTTCAATAAAATCAGTAAAATGCTGAAAATTAAATTTTGTGAAAGAATATTATTCCCTCAATAAGAAAAATTTTAAATTACACGAAAAAGTTAAAGACTTTTTAGTGTGTCAATCAATATTCTAAAGAAAAAGAAAAACGCAGATGATTGGAGAATTCCATTTTCGGTTGATGGAAAACGTTTTGCTTTTGGATGAGTGCGAATCCAACATAGATGGGACCCATGGGTAACAGCTGCCATGGTCCCCATCTATCAAAATCGAAAATGTGGACCCTACATGCCACAACTACCCATCATCATTGATCGACTTCTTTTCTCATTTTTGGGTTTGGTTAATTTATGCAGCATATTCCTTGCATTATATTTCTATTTTTCTTCTTCTTTTCTTTTCATTATATGTCTTCCTTCTTTCTTCTTTTTTTTTTTTTTTTTTCATTCCATGACAAGGACAAATATTGATATGTTTGCCCCCAACAAGACTCAATATTTTAAAAATTACATTATTAAATAATTAGATATGCCAATATAGATATCGATATACTGACTATCATATTGATACAATATATCACTAAATTTTCTTTTATTAACATGTTTTATCTAATTTTGAACAATAAAATATTATTTTTTTATAAATATAAATGTATTTTTACGTTAGCCATTATCATTTTGAATTTATATAAAAAAATTATTACAATTTTTTTTAAAAAGTATATACTGATTTAGGTGTAAACAATTTATTTGAAAGTCTGAAAAAAGAAAAAGATATATTTAACTTGATATTTTAAGTTATCTTTTAATTAATCCGTATATTTATATTCAACTCATTTATAAAAATATTTTAATTTTTTATTTTAATATAATTATTTTGAGAGTCTTTTTAAATATATTTGACTGTGAAAAAACAATATTTTCTATCGAACATGTTTATCTATACCCCAATTAAGTTTAATATTAAGTTCTGGATTTTAAAGTTTTTCTTAAAATATAATTTGATTTTCTTACTTTCCATCTAAACGTATTTTTACAAAAATACATACATTTATGTACAAAAATATTCTCAAAACATCCAAGAAGGTTTTTTTTTTTTTTTACTACATTGATGGTGCCTGTTTTTATTTTCTTTAATCTCTTGTGAATTCCAGTTGCAAAAAAACACAAACAATTGACTGACGGTGCAAGAAGACCCACGTGGCAAGGTTTCTTCCCATTGGTCAGTGTGACTGTCTCGTAACATGTCAAAATTTTATTGGTTCTTTGCGCAAGTCATTGTACGATGATACAGACATGCTAACGTTTGCTTTTCCATATTTTAAAAATTGTTTTTTTTTATTTTTTTATTTTTTTATTTTTTTATTTTTTTTAATTTTAAGTGCTTTTGCTTCCCAATATTCTGACCACTTAAAATTTCGCACCTTTCTTTCCTCATCTACCTTCTTTCCTTTTTTCTCAATTTTACCAATTCAGGATATATAACGGCAATGAAGCTTCCAAGTTTCTTAATCACCTTCTTATTTTAGATTTTTTTTTTTTTCCTATTGGACATGCCTTTTCCTTTCTTTTTTGAGAGCATTGAAGATAGATGAAGATGAGCACTGCAGAAAAAAAAATAGAGAATTTGTGGTCATAGAATAAAGGGATCTATCTATCCAACAGTCTCATCAACCCACCAATCTAAATATCCTCTGCTTTTTTTTTTTTTTCGGCTATGTGCATCTAACTATTCTAGGGTTTTTTACTTCTTTGATCGTTTCCCCTTGTAACATTTCGAGAACAGATACCTCCAGCTCTTGTCTCTTAGTTTTTCTTCTTTCTTTTTTTCTATATAAAAAAATTGGATACCCCTTCATGATTTTTTCTTTTGAACCATAGAATTTCAGTCTAAATTTTGGTTTGCTTTTTAGTCTTGTTAATCATCCTAGCTTTCATTTTGTGAATATTTCAAGTTTTTTTGGTTGTTGTGAAATAGTAGCATATATAGTTAAAATTTTCTTGAGCTGAGATCAAACACAAGATTTCTGGGGTTGTGCTATATATTTGGTGAGAATAAAAGTATAGATTGACTTTTTTTTTTCCTTCCCCCTAACTCTAGGGTTTTCATTGAGAATATTTTATAACTTGGTTTAAAATTTCTATGAACTAGGAGGACATGGTGAGAGGAAAAGTTCAAATGAAAAGAATAGAGAATTCAGCCAGCAGGCAAGTGACTTTTTCCAAGAGAAGAATTGCGTTGTTGAAGAAAGCTCACGAGCTATCAATTCTATGCGATGCAGAAGTTGCAGTCATCATATTCTCACAGAAAGGAAGACTCTCTGAGTTTGCAAGCACTGATCAGTAGGTTTCTTTTTCCTTTTCCTTCCTCGAGTTCTTTGAATTGTTGTTGATGATGCATATATAGTACTTAATTATTAGAATTAAAATATGTTGTTGTTTTTTGAAACGCATAGCTGCTAATTGTTAAGAAAAATGTATGTACGATGTTATAGGGTCCTCCTAGATATATTGAGGGAAGCGATGAGATATCATTTCATTTGTACTTGTACATATAAATTTTACTTAAAGTCCTTTCAGATTTGCGCATTAACGGTGATGCTTTCAATCAGATAGCCGAGGCAGTAAATATTGTAGTCACCAATTAATGACCATGCCCTTGATTTTCCTTTTCTCTTCAATCTTGATGTTGTTTCAATTACACCTAGTCTCTTTAGCTCTATACTTCCCGTCTGAGCTTTGTCATCTAGGGTTGAAATTAATGCTTTCTTGAGAAATAGACAATGGCCATCTGTTTGCTTTGTGAAAAAGATGGGATGTAGCTACTGTACTTCTGGTTTTAGCCAACTGATTTAAATTCTCTATAGAACACCTGATTTTCATCTAAAATGCTACTGAGTCATTTGCCATTTCTTATGAAGGTTTCATTCCTTTTCTTCTTCCTTGGTCAGTATTATTTTCGTTTGTTTTTTCATTATTGTTTGAGTTTTAACTGGGAACCAAAGTGGAGCGAGGTTGTGGAATACAAGATTTATTTTACAATTACAGCTTGAACTCTAAGAGAAATTTTAAGACAATGGATTAATTGTATAACTCTTTGTAGTTTAATTGATGGGTTCTGTGGTTTTGTTTAGTAACATCTTTTCTCTTATTGTATCTTATCTTGTAAGTGAATTTTGATGTCTTTGTTTTGCTTTGTCCAGTGTCTAGTGTGCTCTAGCTTGTTTTTTTTAAAAAAAAAAAAAAAAAAAACCAAGGAGATAACCGTGACTAGTGATATTGAAATGCTTGTAAGAGACATATTATATTTGCTTTTTTTTTTCTTTTTGTGAGTTTGAGGTACTACAATCCCTCAGTTAAAAGAACAGAGACATCATAATCTACTTATTTTCACTAATTACCTTTCCCCCTAATAACTATATATTTTAGGGATTAGTATGTGTATAAGAATGTGTCTTGTGTGTGACTATCTATATGTTGTACTAAGTTGTGCCCGATAACTTTAATATTTGTATAAAACAAAAAAAAAGATTGAAATTAGAAACTAATTCCTTATATATATATATATATAAGGCTTTATGTTAGTTTAAAGGCTCTTAAATTGACTATTAAGACAGAATAAAAATTTAAGAGAAGATATATATGATTTTCTTGTTGTTTGGTTTCCACATATATATACTTTGATCCTGGACGTTTAACCACAAGCTGCCCATTTAATTTTTGTTTACAAAAATGTTTTAATTCCATATTTTATTTTGAGTAATGTTAATATATCTTAGCGAATATTTTTTTCTAAATCACTTTCTGAAAAGTCTCATGCAATGAGTGGATCCTATTCATCAATGATACTAATTTTTTTGCAAATAGTTTTTTGATAATATCAACATTAATTATGAAAACCACTAGCTAGCATAAGTTCTGTTTGATTTATTTCTCGACAAAATCCGCTTGATCACCTAAGCTATGTTCTAGTATTAGAGGAGTTTTGAGAGGTATTAATTTGGGGGAAAAAAGTACTGGATCTTTGATATTTTCTTGATAGTTCTTTTTCTTCTTGTCAATGGGAGAAGAAATGAAAGAGGGTAGGGGGAAATTGCTAGGGTTAGAAGATTCACCAAAACTCAAAATAATGTTGTGATGTTTTTGAAATTTACCAGTACTTGCAAGTTATAGTTTTGTTCTGTACTTTAAAAGGACACTTTCATTAGTTATTGGTTACTTTTCTTTTTATGTTCTCTGCAAAAGATTTTTCATATTTAATATTTAATTTTCCTTTTGGAATTTTGAATTTGATGTCAAAAACTTTTTTTCTTTTCTTTTTCAAGTATTTCTTGTAATTTGGTAGTTAATATGTCAAATAGTTAGTTTTATTGCATACGCAATCTAGTCTAGCTAAATCAAGATTTGCATTTTCTTTGTTACTCAAATCTAATTAATCTCTAATTGATCAAACATAACTACTATCATTCACAGGTTGTTGAAACAATACTTGATCATGACAAGGTATCCTTAAAAGGGTGTCTGTTGTCCTTATAAATAACTCTCTTTCTTTTATTCCATTGGGACTAGGCATTAATTTACATCTTTTTCTTCTTCTTCTCTTTTTTTTTTTTCTTCTTTTTTTTTTTTTTTGTGCAAGAAAGTTTATGCTTTAGAAATGGAACATATGCAGCATAGGTAGTTGTGATGTTTTGGTTTGGGTATACAATCCGCTAATACCTAGTGTAATGTTGGGACTTGGATGCTATCCACAGGGAGTTTATCCTAATTAAATTTACCGAGTAATCATAGTAAACAATATGTTATAATCAAGTTTTACAAGCATTATAGAGTGGTTCTCCCTTTTTTTGCCTCCCCATATTCCCTTAAAGGAAAAATTCATAAATTGATGACATCTCTTGTGTTTAGCAGGATCGAAAAGACCATTGATCGGTACTATAAAAATGCAAAACAAGTGCACAATGGCAGGATCGATGTGCAACAATATAAGGAGGTTAGGCATTTTATCTTTATTTTATTAATCTATGGATGTAAGATTGTCAAGGCAATGTGGCTGTCTAATTCAATCTAAAGGAGAAATTGTTATATACATTATTTATGTTAGTTGCGTTTGTTTCATTTTGGAATGTCCTTGACTTGTCTAATTCAATTATACAAAATATATGCATTTTTTTTAATTAGATGATGCACTTACCAGGATAAGATCAACCTTTTTGTTCACTTCAAAACAAATCATTTATATTCGGACTCAAAGATTTCTGATAATTTAATTTCTCTAGATCATAACCTCATATTGAAGTTTATTATAAGGTGCATGCATTGACATTATCACAATATATTATACCTAATTGAGGACTTATATTATTCAAGAAAATCCCCATGCAACAAATTAGCACTAAATTACTTAAAATCTGATATAATCAACATGGGATGTGCTTAGAATTTCCTTTTCTTTGAGATTAATTCTCAACCATATATAGCTAGGGCTTTCATGAAAAGTTTCAAAGGCAGTTTGTGATGCAATTTCTTCTCATCTTTGAGGAAAGTAATTCCACCAACATTCTGAGTGGAGCTGTAAGAAAAATATTTCTTACTTATTAGGTTAGAGATTCGATTCTCTTTTTTGAAAAAAAATAGTTTTTCCCTTTGTGTGGCAGCGAACATGGATTGTTACTATTGGTAGATTAAAAAAGTTCAGATTTTAGTATCGACTTAAAGTTAGGTGTGATTTGGTATTGACTTAGTTTAAGAATCGAAGATTTAGTCTTAATTGATGCAAAAGCTAGTTCAAAAATAATCCAAATAAAATACAATTTAGTCCCTCTCATTTAGAGAAATGAATTATTTAGTCTCGTTTCAAAAACTAACTATTTAGTCTCTCTCGTTGAAATTGTTGATAGATCCTTCAAATTTTTATGTAATACCTAAAATACTCTTTAAGCATATTAATTCATTTCAAAAATGGAACAAACCCACTCCTGCTCTCTTCGTTGTTATCTTTGTCGTGACAAAGATGATGCTCTCTCTCTCACTCTCCGAATCTTTTTATTTTTTTTGACTAATTTATTTTTAGACATGTTTAATCTTCATACTTCACTTGGATGATGGTTTTGGTTTTAGGACTCTCTCTCTCTCTATATATATATATTTTTCTCTCTAAGTTGTTCTTAATTAGTTTACTCTTCATACCCTTTTTTCAATCGCAAAATCAAAACTGCAATTGATTTTTTAAGGTTACTATGAACTCTAGGGCTACAATGCTTTCCATCTTCTCACCAGTCATCTTGTTCTCATCCTTTAAGGCTTGTATTTCATCTCTTAGCCTAGTAATTTTCTTTAAAACAAGTGTTCTTATAGATTGGTTAACCTCCCCATTACATGGGCTCGTTCAAACTACCATCAAGAGGTATCCCTCAGCCAAGCCAATGCCCATGTACTCCTTCAAGACAAGCATAATATGATTTGTGCTTGTTTATTTGTGACTACGAGATCTTGACAATTGCTCTCCTTCCACACCTGTAATTGATATTCAAAAATCGATCACCATTCCAACCACTCTAAAGTGCACTTTCACTTGACATAATTGATTGTAGTATATATAGAGAAAAGAGATGCAAAATTAGAGATTGAGTTTAAGAAATTAGGTTTAAGAAATAGGAATAAGAATAGTGGGAAAAAAGAAATAAAGGGAGAAGAGAAGCTGCAAAATTAAGGAAGAAAAGCAATAAAATAGAAGAGAAAGAGAGGAAGAGAAGCTCAATTTTAGGGTTTGTTATTAGTTTTAGATATCACTAGAAAAGTTTTATATATCACTAGAAAGGCTATTTGAGAATAAAAGATATTCGGGTAAGTACACATCACTCGTACTAAAAATAAGTAGATAGAAGGAAGAAGTTATTAATGAAATTTAAAAATAGAGGATTAAATGATTAGTTTTTAAAACAAGAAGGATAAATAATTTATTTCTCTAAACAAGAAGGATTAAATTATATTTTACTCAAAAAAACCCACTATCTATAATATCAAGGAAAAAAAAGGGTAGCACTATAATTACGATAATTGGGTATGTGATCTGTTGAATATTTTAATATTATTCACATGATAGATATGTGATAAATATCCATTAGTATCCATGGTAGTATATGATTCTTTTTGTGTGATATTTTTTATTAATTAAATTGAATAGTTTAGTTTTAAATTTTAATATAATCAACAACTTGATTAATATTTTCAACAGAAATGGCTAATTGAATTGTATCTTAAATTTTTGTGATTAGTTTAACTCTTTAGTATACTCTTTCTAATTTTTTTTATGACATTAATACTTCTTCCTTTGTTAATCACTATTTCCTTATGATATATTTAATTCGACATGCAGCAATTGAGATATGAATCAAACAAACTTGGCTAAAAAGATTGAGATCCTCTAAATTTTGCAACGGTGGATACATTAGTTTGATTCTTCTCTAATTTTCTGCATAGATGCTATGCCTAGTTAGTGTATCTGGTTTTATTGAACTTTTGAAATGTGTTTCTTAGGAAGCTTCAAATGCAAGATTTAGATTCATGTTCTCCCGAAGAGCTCAATGACATTGACAGCCAGCTTGAGATCGGTTTAAGCAATATCAGGGCAAGAAAGGTATATGTTAATTAAGAAACTTGCCAAATTAATGTAGCAGATAGAAGAATATTGGAGACTTTGATTGCCTAATTTGGAGTTCTGCATTTGTTCAATCCATCGAAAAGCTAATGAAATTTTATATGTATATATATTGCTTATGATTTAGGCTTAGTTAGTCAAAGAGCAGATTGAATAACTACAAGAAAAGGTAAATAGAGATTTTATAATCATGAAGATTCGAAACTAAAGATCCATTGGAGATTTTATAATTTTTTTTCTCATTCTTACTGCAGAAAAGGTTGTTGTTAGAAGAGAATGCAATGTTAAACAAACAAGTAAGCATTTGTTATTTGTTTTACGACAACTAGTTCTCTATACCTAATATACACAATGAAATTATGATGTGTATGGTACTGTGGTTTTGAATTGTTCTTGGCTTGATCAATCCATTGAAAAGCTAATAAAATTTTATATTTATATATATTGCTTATGATTCAGGCTCATTTATTCAAATAGCAAATAGAACTACAAACAAAGGTAAATAGAGATTTTACAATGCCATGAAGATTCGAAACTAAAGATCCATTAGAGATATTATATTTTTTTCCTGATTCTTATTATAGGAAAGGTTGTTCTTAGACGAGAACACAACGTTAAACAAACAAGTATTTGTTCTTTGTTTTACGATAACTAGTTCTCTATACCTAATATCCACAATGAGGGTTCTTAGTGTTGTGAAATGATGACATATATGGTACTGTGGTTTTGAATTGTAAACACCAATTAAAGAGTAGGGATGGCCACAGCCCCAACAATTCCTCACTTTTAAAGCCGCATTGTTACATGTGAGAAGTTATATCCTATAACACAAGTAGATTTAATGTAACGATTGTATACTTAAATAGTTTTTTTTTAAGTAAAGTAAAATTTAAGTTCTAGTGAATATTCAAATTTTTTGAATAATTATATAAGGGAGAGAGAATTATTCCGATTGTGTAGTTTAAGGTCTATGGGTCTCCTGAAGAATCAAAAGTTATATTCTATAGTCGAAGTCCATATTCAAATCCAATAAACATTCAAATAAGGATTCAAATACTTATCTCCATCTAGTTATCTGGCAGATTTTTTATTTTTTAGTAATTTTTATGTATCTAACATGGAGGTTTTATTTAGAACTAAAAGATGGGACAACTATGGTTAAGGTTTTAATATGCATACATAGTTGTGATAAATTAAATTTCATGTCTCTATTTTATGTGATATGCAATTGGCAGGGACTCTGTGCCTCCACCTCTAAGCAGGTTTTAGCACCTATACTTGTTTTTTATCTCCATAGATGGAAAACTCCCTCCATATTTTTTAACGTCTAATGGTGCAGAACAAACCTCCACTGGGTATTTTTTTTCACCTTCTATCCCAATTCTTTATTGTTGAACGTTTTATTGATATGTTTGTTTTGGTATTTGGCTTAGTGGGATGCATGACCATTGCTGCAATCAACTCAACCGAACCAAGCTGTGACATGCATGGGCACATGTAGCCAGTGGTCAAATGTCGAGATTGAACTATTCATTGGACTGCCACAAATGCGCTGCTTGTAGGTTTTGTCCAATAATTCATTAATAAATTAATAAAAAAAATTTAAAAAGACCAAACACCTTATCATCATGATTCTAAACTTACACTTTGATTGTAATGGTAGGAGTGAGCAAACGACTCGGTTAACCAAAAACCGAATCAAACTGAATCGAATAATGAAATTTGGTTAGGATGTAAATTAAAAAATGTACAATTTATAACCGAACCAAAAAAACTAAAATAATTTCGGTTCAGTTTGATTTTTTTTTAAGAAATAGTTTGAACCAAAAATTGTTTTTTTTTTAATTCCTAATTCTAATTTCTAAATCCCTAAGAATAAGAATAAGATCTAACCCTAAGCTACCTCTTTTAACTTTCCTTTCCTTTTGAAACAGACGCAGTCACATAACAAGTTGGCAAAATCTTGCAGCCTTCTGGTTACTGCGTCTGGTCTGATGACACTGTACATATGCTGCAACAACCCAAGCTTACACTGCAGCAACAAGCACAACAAAATGAAAGTACTTTGTTGCCAAATCAAGGGCTGCAGTCACAACAGCAATTGATGTCACAGATCCAATCGCAGAAAACACAGCTGCAGCAGCAGTTGGGTCTGCAACAGCAATCGAATCCATTACAACGTGATCTACAGCAAAGGCTTCAAGCATCAAGTTCCTTGCTTCAATACCAGAATGTGATTGATCAACAAAAACAATTATATCAATCTCAAAGAACCCCTCCAGAGACGTCCTCAAGTAAGTTATTTCACCTATGTTGCTTCCTAGCCTTACTCCAACTATACTTTTGCAGTTTTGGGCTTTCATGTTAAATTATAACATTTATTTACCAATATGATAATATTTCAAGTCAGTAATGCCCTTGTTGATAGCTTCATGTGCTGCTGCTGCCACTGATAGCATTAGTAATGTCACCGTTATTGAAACCATTGCTACAATCACACACCATATTTGCTACCACATCATTCCCTCCGAGTGCATTGTGCCAACTGTTCGCTTTTCATTTTGAATTTAACGAACAAGAATTTAAAAATATCTCTAAATGGATAATGCATTTGAGACTAGGGGAACTAATAAGCTAACTAATTTTATAGGAAGAAAGAAATCAGTAAGTGGATTAACTCGTGAGTTGTTAAGGTGTGTTATACTGATAAATCATTACATTGCTGGAAATTTTTCATGATTTCCTCTTCAATGCTAACTCGTAATGCATGTGAAGTGTTTCATTGTTAACTTTTTAAGGAACAAGGACTCGTGATGCATGCTATTCTATATTTTATGAGATGGTTGATTTTAAAGATTTTCCTGGTTAAGAGGTAAAGTGCACTTTCCTTTTGTTTGGGCTTGTAATCCTTTCATGGCTACTAGAAATAAAAATGCAATTTCGATTTTGCCTTTCATGCTCTCAAGGCTTCTTGAAGAATTTCGATTCTTTGGGTGGCATACTTCTTGTGTACTTCCTGCATCCCTAGGTGCTACCTATTTTTTTTCTTTCTTTTGCCTCGCTAAATTTTGCTACCACCCAGTACTTGGACTTAGAGAGCATATTTTTATTGAAAGGTAATGTGTTGTTCTTTGTCTATGCGACTTTCTCCGGATATATTTTACTGTGATTATGATCATCGGATTTTCTTTCATTGCTTGGTGTAGTGTTTCATCTTTTGTATGGTTTATGTCAAATCGGGAAACCGACTTTGTGACTATAGGATGATTGGATTTGTTAGCCACCGCCCACCGAAGACTGATGTGGTTGAATGCGGTAACTAGTTAATTATAAGCCATAGCATTTTTCTTCCGTAAAACATGTCATGATCCGAGCGTCCAACGGAAGATTTTTCTTGGTTACACTTGCGGGTCTTGGTCACTTCTTTTTGGTTTATATATGTCTATTTTGTTTCTTTTTTAATTGGCTTGTTCATATAGACATCATTCTCTCTCTTAAGACCCGGATGTCAAAGGAGCTTGTGTTGATGAAGTTTTTTTTTAACAATAGATTTGTTTCATTTTTTCACTAGGCTCGGCAAGAATCGGGGTTGTTCTTTAACGCAAAGTTCTTTGAGGAGCTTGTGTTGTGTGGCAACTAGGATGAGGTTGAGAAGTATCTCTTTGGGTTTACTAAAGTGGATGATAACCGATATTCCATGAAGATATTTTTTGAAATTCACAAGCGAAGTACCTCGAGGCATTGGATAAGTAAGATTATTGATCTTTTATGTGTTTAGTTTTGATGATATGCTTCGAGCGGTTTATTATCGAGTCGAATCACGGTTTACATTTTTATAGTGTTTGTTGCTTTGAGTAGATGTCACGATTATTAACTTGATTTTTTGTTCAACTATTATGCAAGGATGCTTTTAAGATATCATAAGCAATCAAGTTTATCAAAGCATGCATCGGTTCTAGAAAAATTAAACGATTGCAAACACTTCATATTTACAAAGCTATAAGCACACATTGGTTCAATTTTTTTTTCACGGGAATAAAAGTTTGATTAAAACGGAAGTATTTTGATACTGAATTGAAATAATTTGATTACAAATCGAATTAACAGAATTTAATTTGGTTTGATTTTGGTTTTCATTTTTTCTAATTTGATTAACCAAAAATCGAACCGAATTAAGCTTAACCGAACCGTTTAACCGTTTGCTCATCCCTATGTAATTGTGTGAGTACCGATGATTGACGATTTCCAAAAAAATAAGCATAAACCCAAAAGGAAGTATGAGCGTTTGGCTAAGAAGAAAGAAAACCGGAAAACTAACATAACAAGAAAACGAACAAAATGATACTTCCTCGGTATTGGTAAGACAAATTGCTCACCTTATCCATTAATACAAGGTTTTTTCTATAATCAAACATAGTCTTTTGCTCATCCTTAATTTCCTAGACCACCTCTTGAAGATTCCATGTACATGAGTTGACAATTTAGTAGTAGCAACACTACTAGGTTTTGAAGACTCAACATCCATTGCTACATTATATACATTTTCAATGTTAAAACCGACTCTTTTTTTCCTTACAATATCCTCTCCGGGACTCTTCAAAATAATGCTATCAAAACTCTAAATTGTATATAGATTTTTATCGTTTTTCATTCCTTTATCCTTATTTGGCTTTAAACTCGCACTACTACTTTTTAAGCACACTAATTTCAAAGTACCCTCTTCACACATCCTTTTCATTTTCTCATTTAAATTCATTTCTTCACTAGCTTTCTTCTCTTTATAAATCTTTTTTTATCACTTTTTATTGTTTCATATTCCAAAACAAGAATCCCTTCTCTCTCCCTCGCCTCCTTTGAATCTAGGCTATTAGTACTCGAACCATACCCGTATCTCGCATTGGGATGATAACCTATAACTACTATCATTGTTTTCATGCATTAAACATGTTGAAATAATCACATGTTGACATTTTTAGTGCTGATGGTGGTACTGGTGCTTGGCTTTTCAAGACTTTAACAAATGCCTTTGATTAAGTAGATGTGAAGAAATCTTGCACTCGAACATATTACACAAATTAAAACTATTTCAATCACAAAGTTGGACAAGAAAAATAGTGAAAAAAAATCCCTTCTACATGCATACCCGGGACTATCCTTCATGTCTAACTCAAGACAAGGAGAAAAGAGTATTCATCGTTAGCAAGTTGAGATAATACGTTAGCCATTATTAAACAATTCAAACATTCTTAGCTTCGGATAGCTAAAAAAAGATTTGTTGTTTTTAAAACACATTGCATGTATCCAGTCGGCCATTTGCTTCATCTAGAACTATATTTGCTTATGTTTTTTCACTTTTCTTTTTCGAACATTTCGTATATAATAGTGGCATGACACAAATTTTATCTCATTATCTTAATACGCATCAAACTTGATACCCAATATCCATTACCTTTGATTGACCTCCGATTGCATATCATTATGCAACCCAAAGGGAAACCTTCACTAATCACTATGTATAGGAAATTATGGATACCAAAAAACATTTCTTTGAGCTCCTCTTGTCAAACTAACAACATATCCAAGTTCTAAAACAAGTCCAAACTAAGATTATTAGCCATATAATCATTCAACAATCTTAAACCCTAGACAACTCATCCTGCAAAATGAAGAAAAGAGCTCTTCGTTCTCCTACCATGTTTAAACCATTAGCGAGCCAAAACTCACAGATTTAAACTTTAACTAAGCCCCCTCATTCTCTTGTCTATTTTATTTTCACCCTTTCATAATCAATTCCCTATTACAACTACAAGAACCATGTCAAAAGCAACTCAAATAACAAAAATTTAAGCAAGAATTCATTGAAAAGCAAAAGTGGACATGATTGCAATAGCTAAATCTTGACCATAGAAAAGAGAAATTTGTCCCAAAAAAACGAAAAAAATTAGACTAAAGAGATCGGTATCTTTGAGACGAGTACTTCGGAGATTCTTCTTAGGTTTAATGAGAGGCCACTTTTCTACTTTTTTTCCATCTCCCATTTTTCTCTTCTTCGTAATTCTACCGTTTTTTCTGCTTTTGCCTTTAATGAACGGCTCCAATTTCTTGTATCATTTTGTTTTTTTGTTTCTATTTTGGCCTAATAATATGTTTTTTAGACTAAATTTTGATAAAAATAGGCCTCACTTTGAATGTCCAATCAATTAGACCACAATATTTTATCTCTTCTTTTTTTACGATAACTCGGAATAACTTAATTTCTATTTGTCCATAATTTCCCAAAATCCAACCCATGGATCTTTCGTAGAATCATTTTATCACTAATTAACTTGTCAAATATAGATTTAGGATGAAAATTGATCTTTTATAAACCCTAATTTATACCAAAATCATTGACTAAACCCATTATTTGGTATATTTACTCATATTTTCATCGATTTGTCAAAAAACTTCTTTTATTATCAATTTGATTAATTGTGTATATATATTTTTTATTTTAGTCAATCAAATTTAATTTTTTAAAATTAAAATGAATTGCCTAATAAGAATGATGGAATGAATGATGATATCGACCGGAGCGGAACTAAAATTTATAATAATGACTTATGTAATAAAAAACAATATTCAATTGATTGAAATATTTTTTAAAAGTCTATATTTAAATTATTAAAATTAAAAATGCACGCTATTCAATTTATAAAATTAATAAAATAGGATTTTTTATCGAATTATTTAAAAATCACAATAGAAATAGTGGATTTAACCAAAATTATAGTTTACTCATTATGAAATTCCAAAATTATTTATTTTAAAAAGATCGTGAAACAAAAAACTAGAGATTTTAAACAATTGTTTTCAATATAATCAATAAAATACTGAAAATTAAATTTTGTGAAAGAATATTATTCCCTCTATCATACCATCTTTTGTTTTTTTGTTTTTTTACATTTCTTTTATTCTTCTTTTATTTTTATTCTTTAGTCCCTTTTTTTCTTTTATTAAAAACCAAAAAAATCAACAAAAAATTAAGGAAATTAGATAATCAACAAAATTTTATTTATTTGCCTAAAACTCAATACAAAATTACATAAAATTACCAAAAAAAAATATAAAAAAAAAAAAGAAAAGAAAAGGAAAACGAGAGATGGAGGGACAAATCCCTTCCATCTTTTGTGCTTTTCCTAGCTACCTTGGACAAATTCTCCAAAATCCAATAATCTCCTTGGCAATCCCCCAATTTTTGTAACCCCTCTTACAACGGTTTGCAAGCTATGTTGGAGTCCCCTATCCTTGCTACAATTGAATAGCCACCCCGCATAACCTCTCCCTAAGTCAACCTTTAACAACCTAACCCTACTACTATAACTCTCATAGTCTTTTTAGACAACTTCCCCCATTTTCGGTAATCTTCCGTGCAATCCCCCACTTTCCGTAACCTCACCATGTTACAACTTACGATAACCGGACAACAACCATTACCCTATAACAAAAACTATCACACTTTGTGTTAATCCAACCCACACTCTATATCCTGCAAAATCCGACCATCATGGTGGAGAACCAACACACACACACACACACAATTCATAGGAAAAAAAAAAGGGAGATTCGATCAAAAAATAAAAAGGAATCAACAAAACAAAGAAAGTTAAGAGGCAACAATAACAAACACGAAGGAGGGGGATTCAATCCAAAAAGAAAGAAAATCGAGTTCAAAAAAATTGAAAAGAAAAATGTAAAAAAACAAAAACAAATCATAGAAAAATTTGTCCTAGTTTATTGGAATTAAGAGAAAATTAAGTTAAAAGAAAAAGAAACAAAGATATGGAAGAAAGAATAAAAAAATAGGGTAATAAAAAAAATAAAAAGAGGAAAAAAGGGAAATTTTGAACAAAAAATGATAAAATGTTTGACGAGAATTTAAATTTTATGCATGTTTATCATTCGAGTGTTTCATTTAGATGTTTAATTATCTTTAATCATTTTAATTAATATATTTTTAATCTTAAATTTATTGCATGTTTGTTAGTTTGCATTTAGTTTAAAATTTTATGTTAAGATTTTATGTAATTACTTTAATTAATGTAATTTTAATCTTTATTTATTTTATGCATGTTTTGTTATTAATTTAGATTTCGGTAGTTGAATTTTCTTTAATTTACTTAATTAATTTTATTTTTAATTTACATTTTTAGTAATTAGATTTGGTAATTGATATGTAAAGGATTGTCAAATCTCCTAATTCTTTAGGGTCGATGACTATCTCCCACCAAAAAGAAAAAAATTGAAAAAAAAATCATAAAACCCTTAAATAAGTCTATTATCCGATACGGACAATCTGTTTAGCAAAATATATATATATATATATATATATATATATATATATATATATATATATATATTTTAGTAATTTAGACTATTTTCCGATATACCAATTATGTTGAGACTCGAAAAGTGAATATGATGTCTAAACCGACGTGTCTTCCGACAAAGAGATCCGACATCATTTACGCTCAAAACTAAAAAACTTAATTTGGCTTGGAAAATTAGCATTTTAAATCGAAAAATAATTTGGCATAAATAAAATACTTTAGGAGATAAATTTTTGGACTAAACCGGACATGGTATCTTTATTTGGAAATGATGTTTTTGTGTGATTTAATTTCTTCTAAAAAGCATAACCATTTTCTTACTACTGATTCTCCGAACTAGTGTCCATTTTAAGTTTTTAGTTCCTTCAATACATGGTGGCGACTCCAAACATGTAAATTATTTTGTAAATAAATAAAATCTTAAATTAAATTTTTTTTTAGAGTCCCATCCGATGTCGGATAGCGACGGAATGATGACTCCACTATGACCTTAAAGTTAGGCCATAGGTTTAGTTTGTTAAGTTTAACTTTTGTATCTACTTTTATCAATTATTTTCTAAGTAATTTTTTTCATTTAATCTGGGTTATTTATTTCTTATATATATTTTTAAAACTTTTAATTTTGTGTAATTTATTTTTCTTGCATTCATGTACATTAATCCTAAACTTGGATTGGATGCTTTCTTTGAATTGTTGTACACACCACTAGGAAACCAACAAAAGCTCTATACCCAAGCTAAACCCCGTTATGATTTAAATAGAAAGATATGGAGACACGTATGATGAAAGTCCACCGATGCTCTTTCGAGCTTCTTATTTAGACTTGAACTCGTCCTATGCATTGGAAATGATGAAATAATCTTTCCCTACCTCCTCGTGCAAAAAGGTAGAGATTGGATTATCTCATCGATAATTTATATGGTTAAGAAACTTGAAAAGACTTCGGGATTAGATAAGTTTTGTCTAAACCCATGAAAAGCTGGATCTTGTCCACTAGGGTTAACCCACTAAGACATGAATCATTTTCAAATGTTGTCTATATGTAACCTTCGTTTTTATAGGATATCATCAAAACAAATCATGATAGAGAATGCTATCGAGAATTTTAGGATCGAATCGAAGGAGCTTACTTGGAACGGAGAGGTTATCTACCCTAGATCTTATGTAAAAAAAGAAAAAGAAAAAATCAAAAGAAAAAAATGGATCCTCGAAGCAATAAAGATACCATTGAAGATGAAGACATAAAAGATTCAAAAGCTGCACAGTTCCTACCGCCTCAAGTCTAGGTATGGAATTATGAAGGTAGAATATGAATCTATTTGTATTGTAAACATTGTAATGTAAGTAGTTGTTACTAGTAATTGTTAATTATAGCAACAATATTTTTATTCTTCAATGAAAAATGACTCTAAGTCACTTTCAAAATGTGCTTAGAAGTTTAAATTTTAATTTCTTCTATGTATGTTGTCACAAGATACACTCATCACTAAGGGTCTTAAAAAAATTCTTGTTAAAAATAAATATAATTTAGTGTAGATATGTTTCTTGAATCACCTCAAATATATGTAGGATTAAAATCCGATCCGATCCGTCCTTGATACAAACTTTATCTTGATTTAGAGTGTACAATTCACATCATGCATGTATATATTGTATATTTGCTATACATATTTGTTTTGACTTGTTTATAGGATTTGAAATATAGGCCTCTCTCGTCAAAACTCAATCGCTCTTGAATTCATCACACGTAACCGTGATGAGGCTAGATGGAAATTGAAGAGAGCACTAATGGGAACATGTCCACCAAAAAAATGTATTGATCTGTATGAAAGGGAAAATTACCCATTTTTCTAACTTCTAAAAAACATTGCTCGTATTACTAAGTGTTGGGAGCATATCAAGCTAAGGGCAAGCTAAGTTTTAAATTTTCATTCACCCTTCTATTGCTAACTTACATCTCGTGTCATCTACTATTCCACTCACTAATCTAGAGTAATCATTTTCTGCTAAAGCATCATTTTCGACTAGGCCACTCTCATATACAATGGGCTCACAGATTCCAATGGCGCAAGCTACACCTATTACATACATCACTGTTAGAGACATCCACAAGACTAAGGTAATAGAATAGCCTAGTTCAAACAACTTGTTAGTAATCGAAAACCGCATCAAGGCTACCAAAGGCACTAATATGCATGAGTCACTGCGAGTTACTTGGAATAGACACGGTGTCAAATGTGGTAATTCTTATAAAATTCAGAGTTTTAGAATTCAAGTATGTGGGCTCCAAATGTCCAATGACTCACTAGCGAGCAAGACGGTCGAATTGGGAAAATCTACCGATACATTTTTTTTTTTTTTTGCAAGAGCGTAGATGGATCTACTTTGAACTAGTATATGAGATCGGATGGTGCCAAGATCAAAAAATAAAGAGATCAAGCCTATGCTTTCATCCAATAGAATAAATATAATAGAGGGGTTGCTCCAAGTCGATCGGACTTACAAAGCAATTAAAATTGGGACGGTTCCCAATGGTTCCAGAAGAAAGGAAGTAAGGTCTTAAGAGAAGAAATGGTGAAGTATACCGGGTTGGAACTAAATTCTCTTGGTCTAGAAATCGATGGAGTAATCAAGAAAGATATAAAAATCCTAGCAAACATCCAAAACCC